TTTCTTTACTTAAGTGATTTTAATGCAATTACATTGTTAATGTAGGAACTCACTTAAGTAGCTTAGTAGAGTAAATTTCTCCACTGTGAGATCAATAAAGTCAATCAATTAATCAAGCTTAAAAGATTAATGTTCCAAGGAACCAGATACAAAGAAATGTTCAAAAATTAAGATAGACGTTGAGCATTAATACATTATGAATGCAGAGAAAAAATTATAAAATTAGATCAAAACAGGAGGTTGTCCAAAATTTTTGGGAAAAAAGCATATTCAAAACTCGTGTGCAGTAATTAGGTGGGCAATAACATGCTAATAAAACGAAAACACAAAGAACGGAGAAAAAGAAATAAAGGAACAAAAACATGAGCTGAGATATTTCTGTAATATTGAGGAATGCAGTGCCTTGTGAAAATAAGAAAAGCATGTTGAAACCATGATGCTGCCACCACCATGTTTAACACTGGGGATGGTGTGTTAAGAGTTATTAGCAGCTTTTAGACCACACATTACATTTTGTGTTGTTGCAAAAAAGTTAGATTTTGGTTTCATCTGAACAGAGCACTTTCTCCCACGTTTTCTGTGTCTCCCAAGTGGCTTGTGGAAAACTTTAAAAAGAAATTTTGTGGATATCTTTAAGAAATGGCTTTCTTCCATAAAGGCTAGATTTGTGACAGACTCTGCATCACACTAACAACACCACTGCATATTTGCACCATAATGCTTTCATATCAATGTGTTTTTTGCCCCATGTTTTTTCTTTCTCCCACACTGTTTAAATTTTATCACAACTGCACTTTAAAGAATGGAAATGTCATTAAAGCTGTACAAAACAAAATTTAAGTCTAAGACTATGAGAAAGATTTTCTGTTCTGATGAGACCAAGATTTAACTTTTTGGCATTAATTCTAATTGGTATTTGTGGAGAAAACCAGACACAGCTCATCATCTGCCCAATACAATTTCTAACAGTGAAATATTGTGGTGGCAGCATCATGCTGTGGGGGTGCTTTTCAGCTGCAGGGACAGTAACTCTGGTTGTAATTGAAGGAAAGATGAATGCGGCCGAGTACAGAGATATCCTGGAAGAAAGCCTCTTCCAGAGTGCTGAGGACCTCGGACTGTGCCGAAGGTTCACCTTCTAACCAGACAATGGCAGTATATTTTTCATTTCAGAGAAAAGGATCAAAGCTTTTTCACAGAGTATGGCTTTGTCATTTTTCTATGTAAAAAATGCTAATGCTGTTAATCATGATTAGATTGTGTAAAATATCAGCTATTTTATTTATTTTGATGATTGATCAGCAACTGCTATCCCACACACACCATCTCTGCTCCTTACATAATAAATGAATGCTCATGGCAGGTGACCATTCATGTATTTTCCTTTTAACAGTTTTGTTTAGCTTTAATGGCTCTGACTACAATCTTCTGCTGCTCCTCCTTCATCAATTACTCATTACTGTCTAAAGTTATTTTATTACACATTTTAGGAACAGCTTCATCATTTTCTGTCTTCTTTAAGGAAATCATGTAAAAAAAAAAAAAACTATCAGCAGGACATTATTTTGAGCTCTTTTATTCAAAATAGGAAGTCTTATGAACAAACTAGAGAACAGACCCATAAGTAGAGAAAAATGTC